CTGTCTAATAAGCATGCTGTTACCTGTCAGGTAAAACAGATTATCTTTGCTCACAAACACAGAATTTAACACATTTGTGAACAACATTTGACAGAAATAAGATAAAGACTTAGATGTTTACCACGGCAACTCATGGAAAAACAGTTGTTATAATTTCTGTTCAGGGTATTTAAAGTCACCTTCATTCAAATACAGTGCAGATTATTTGACCATTAAGCTGTTCTGGCTGCTAAAGAGAAGCCCTGCTCTTCATGTGTCCTGGACTCTGCTCCCACAGACGAATCTCACTCGTGACACAGCTTAACCTTGGTACCCAGAAATAACTCTGTCCTCTCCTGCAGGATCTGAAGGAGCAAAGGCCCGGCTGTTGGCTCTGCTACGCCCCCCAAACATAACTCAGCATTACTAACACGTGAGGCGATGACAAGCCTCACTAAACGGAGTGGAAGCTCTTCTTGCCGTCCCCGTCAATACACCAACAACGATGAACTCATATATACAGATCTGTGTAACTGCTGTAAGAAGGCACCGCTGAGATTGAGTCATTGGCAGAGGACATGACCTTTACTCTACTAGCATCACAAGCTGGTGCACGACAATCACTAAATGTGTCAAAGCATAAAAATGAGCGCTGCATAATTAATCGAAATGTTATCAAAATCACAATATGGAAAAGTTAACTATTCAGATCAAATTAAGCTCAATATTTGGAAAAATATGTTAAAAAATGTTTACGATTTATTTTTATGAATTTAAATGTATTTGTTTTTTTATTATAAATATATATATATTTACTTTTTATTTTCTATGCATAAAAAAACAGCTTTTGGGTTCAAGGTATAGGCGTGTTTCTTTGGGTTTTTGTATGTATACTGTATATAAAAACATGAGTTTGTATTATGAAAAAATATTTGTAAGGTAAAACTAAGTCACTAAATAAAAAGTACACTAAATAAAATACCGGGTGCTGCAGTCTCGACCTATAAACAATATTCTTCATCTTCAGATTTATAAAAATCCTGCAGCCCTGATACAAATTAGATTTTTTCAGATCAAGTGACTTCACTTGTTCAGATAACTTGCAGCAGTGAGATAGCTGGTCATAATTGGCCCCTCATTCACAAATCAACGTTGTGCTATTATATGTTTTTCTCCAGGTACACTGTTCTCTGACACATCATTTCCACAGAAAGTAGATTCCTGTAACACCTGATTTGCATCTTTGAGGTATCCATAGTATGTATACAAGTCTCAGCTTGTTACTAAAACTCTCTGACAAACACAACAAAACATCCACATTCTTGTGTCTTGGACGTCAATGGAGATTAATCCAAGTCATAAATTAGCTAACGTTCCTTTCACTGGCGATAGAAATGGAGAAGCAAAAAGGAGACAGACAGAGGAACCAGACAAATTCTTCGAAACTGTCTCCTCTCTGTCAGTTAAATTGTTCCCCTCGGAAACAAATAACACACTTCATCACCCGAGAATAAATTAGGAGGCTGATTAAAAACATCCCCAGCTGTCACCTGCAGGCCCTCGTCTACGAGTCATCACTGCGGGCCCTCAGATAATAAAAAACACGGCTGCAATAAAAGGTTTTTAACCTTTGAGACTGAAGGCTGTGACGTGTTTATGACCGGTGATGGAGGACGTGGTCATTAGCTGCAACTCACTCTCATTCCTCTGATAGGAGGGCACATGAGAAACATCAGGAAGAAACGCAAATGGAAACTGTTAGCCTGTCAATTATGGTCTCATATATTGTCGATTGATCGAATGAATGTAGGCCATTTCTCGGAAAAGATAATGACATTTGACTTGTTTGTGATTGGGTCCTTTTTTGTGAAAGGTTAATAAGCATTTAGCCAAGCCCAGTATCTCTGCTTTTTTTATCAGGACAATGCAGAACAAGTATTAGTTATCTGAAGAGAGTTCAAGACGCAATCATTAACAAAGCTTAATAATTATTTGTAATAAACGTGCTGCTTAAGTGCACAAAGCTTTAAAAGTTGTTCAACCAAACCTCCAGCCCCAGGGGTCAGAAACTTGATGTTATCAGGATACAATTACCGGAGGAACAGCAGTTACAGAAACTTGTAAACTCATTATGCAGCGCACTGGAGAAATTAGCTTTGTTTGCAAATACAAAGTGCAGTTATTACTGAAAACAGAGGAAGAACAAGCTCTCTGTACCGCGGGCCGTGCAAAACAGACCCATTATTTTTCCAACTCATGAATACTAACATTTCTACCTAAAGCATAAGACCTGTGTAGAGTTTTTATGAGATGATTTATGGATCGGGGAAATATATGACTTTATTCGCCTGCTTTTGAGCTACTGATGAATTACTTTAGCCATACATACAGCTTATAATACAATTAAACTGTAATAGGTTGCTTTGGAGAATACTGGCAGATTCAGCAGATAAACCCAATATGCAGCAGCAACAAAAACAGAGGATGGATTGGATTGTAAACAGATACCGCAAAGGTTTTCAAGTGAGTTCAGAAGAAAAGTAGAGATTGTGGCATAACAGAAGGACCGACATAGTTTGTATTCACTGATCTGATTGCATTCAATTCATTTGGCAGATACTATTTTACAAGTGACTCACAGTAAGGGCCTATGCTTCAACATGAGCAAAAAACATTCTCATTATTAGTTTCTTTGCTTGTTGATTGAGGCAATCAGATCAGACATGGGTAAGTTATCTGCAGCATGTGATGTCTGACTGAAGTCTGAACATACATTATCCAAGTTGTTCTTGTTTCTTGATTTGCACGTATAATCAATTCACACAGTGAAAATGCTACGAGTATAATGTCCAGTATTTCTCCAAGAGTGCACGCTTAATAGTGTTCATGCATTATGTGGTTTTTTTCTATTAAAAAAGTAAGCGTTTTTAACACGGTGTGATGCCCCTGTGGGTTCATCTAGAGAGGGTGTGGCTGTGCTGTCTTGATTGCCTTGATTGCAGTAACTCAGGACACCTGGGTCTGGCGCCCTACAGCTATTTAAAGCCTCTGCTTTCTCCTACAGGCACCTGGTTTCGGTTGAGTATGCTACGAGTTTCTTCACTTTGTGCACTTCAACACTCTCACACTCATACATGTTCATGCAATCCTCACCCTGCATTTACACTACTGATACCACTGACATCCACACCTCATGCTTTACTTGTTTTGCACTTAATTAATTTGGTTAATTTGAACCACTTGCTTTAAAGGGGACCTATCATGCAAAATGCACTTGTGTACGTCTTTTATACATGAATATGTGTCCCCGGTGTTCCAGGGAACTCACCAAGTGTCAGAAAACACAACCCTCTCTATTTTCCTCCATACCCAAATCTCTAAAAAAGGGGCTGCAACGGATCTGATAAAAACTGATCCAGATTTGAACACTGTCCTGACGTCAGGACAGTGGCGCTACGGCTATTGGGCCAACTCCACCAATCAGGAGGAGACAGCCACGGCCATTGCCGTTCGAAAAGCGCTGGAGACGCTGTAGTACATATGCCAGGCCTGTAGGTGGTGCTGTTCTCACAGAATCAACCCTTGCAAAAACAGAGCTAAACATTTTCAAATTGAGCGAAATGAGGCATGGCTAAAATGCATGATCTGTTTGGAATTTTGAAAGAAAAAAAAAAGTATAAATATGCCTTATATAGGTATGGTCCTACACTATATTATTCAAATATAGCATGATAGGTCCACTTTAATAAACATATTTTGTTAAACCGTTGATATGGTGTGTCTCCTCTTTGTTGTGGCCTTTTGAGCCAGGTCATAACACACGGTGTCGATGTTTAAAGTATGTACAATTTAATATTATGGAAACCTAGTTAGTAGGAGCTATGCCTATCATTCCTGGTCAGGTTAAAAGAGAATAATGTACACTATAATCAACAAAAGGCTTACTATTTATCTATTGAAAGGTTGTTTTTTTAAAAGGCATGTATGTAAGGTTTCTGACATTTCTGCTTCTGTTAGTCAGATATATACATATATAGTCAGCTGTATAAAGCATCCTCGTGAAGGAACATTTCTGCACTTCCTGTGGTCACGGGGCTCTGACAAGTTCACTTTTAAGACTTTGGAGGCGGGGAATGAATAAAGACATGTCTCTTATTTCAATATCCATGCATGTTTGTTGCCCCTAAAGTAAATATGCGTATGTCCATAAAAAGGTGCAAATGGTGATGTTTAATTCACTAAAAACATGGTCACATTCATTACCGCGCTCTTTTTAATTAGCACCAACAACAACAACAATGATGTACCTTTTTAATGTTGCAGCTAGTTAATGTAGGACTAGTTTCTTTACCTTATATACTGCTGGGTAGTTTAACCTATGATAATACATCATGATATCTTAGGTGACTTGGTTTTAATAAACTGAATCTGCAGTTTAACTAATGTTGTGAAATATAATGGCGTAAAAGTTTTAATATAGCCTAAGCCTCTAAAATGTAATTAAATATAACGTAAAGGTAGTAGAACATGCTAATTATCAGATAAAGTACCTCAAAAATGTACTTAAAGTGGAGTAACATTACTTAAGTTAATGTTACAATTGCACACAATATGTCAACACTCCCAGTCACACTCCCTACATAGACATCCAGAAAGATGCATATCAAGCTTTGATAGTTTAATAAAGTGGTTAATACACTATATCAGTGCATTGCAGGTGTCCAGCAGCCTGTTAAAAGCCACAACATGCGTCTCAAATCTCTATAGAACACAATGAATGAGTCAGATGGGTGTTTTGTAGTCAAACAAGCCTTATGTGGGAGAAATAAACCTCACAAAACACACGTAAATACATCCAAGTATCGCCTGCTCACAACACAGTACTCCTGTTACATAGAGTTGCACAAATCCTTAAAAGCTTGCCTCATTCAGTCCACTTCCAGCGACACAGCAGCAGCGACATCACAGGGAAGCCACGCCGAATATAGAGCACAAAGTGTGGGAACAACAGCGGGACTTACCGGCGGAAAACCACTGGAGGTCCGTCAGCTGCTCACTTCCTTATTTCCTCCGACTGAAGGGAAGCTGCAGCCGCCTGAGTTTAGCTTGTCTTTTTTTAACTCTCAGTGAAGTTGTGAGCTAACTGCATGCTAAAGTTCATGTCCGCTCATGTCTGGTGTTTAGCTGCTGCGGCTAGCTTCCTTCCTTTTTCTCTTTTCTTCACTTTTTTTGTTTGTTGTTTTACATAAAGTAAAAATGTTTGTAAGACGCGCCATCACTGCCATCTATCGGTCAAAGTGGTGAACTGCACTCATCGATTACTATAGGAAAAAATTATGCCTGATAAAAAAAACTGTGTATAATAATAATAATAATACATTTGATTTATATAGCACACTTTAAAAACAACGTCATCTCAAGGTGCTTCACAAAGCTATAAGGAACAATAAGTAAAAAGTTATCTAAAGGAGCATATTGGATAAAATATGACAATATAAAAATAAAAGGTTAAGAGCATAGAAGGTTTAAAAATAAATAAAGTAAAGGACAGTCAGTAAAATGCGGTGTGGAACAGGTGGGTCTTGAGGCATTTCCTAAAACTGAGAGTGATGCTGAGGTCCGTATGTTCTCTGGAAGCTGATTCCACAGACGTGGACCCAGGGAGGAGAAAGCACGGTTTCCCATGGTGACCAGTTTTGTCCGCGGGACAGCCAGGAGATTGGAGCTGTCTGACCTGAGTGTGCGTGAGGTATGTGAATGAGTGTGCGTGAGGTATGTGAATGTATGTATAAGGTTTATTTTACAAGTATTGGTATAAGTACCAATATAAAAATCTACAATTGAATACTAATGTTTTTTTATTGAATACAATATTATATTATGTAGATAATGAGACATTGTTAGGCTGCATTATGGTTTGTGGTATTGTGCTTTTTTTTAGGCTGTCAAGAACATTTAGCAAATTATGTTATAAATGTGTAAGTATTTATTATTATTATTATTATTATTATTATATTGATATTACCCCTTTTTTTATTAATGATTACACTTCCAGAATAATAAAGGTTTATGAACAATCTTATTTTAATTGTTATGATTATAAATTATTATGAAGTGTGCTTGTGTATAAAAGAAGCATGGCAATGCAATGTTTGAAAATGATGCTCAACAATAAAAAAAAATATTATAATAAAATGATACTACTTTACTATGTTATATTATTATTACATTTCAACTCAAACTATACTTTATATCTTCTACTACTCTTCTACTACTGAAATACTTTATTATATCATACTATATTATGTTAAAATGTTATACTGTCTAACTGCAGATACAGAAAGATAAGATAATCCTTTTCCTACAGCATGGGAATGTGCAGTGTAACAGCCGCGAAGGAGATGTTTAAAATTGAACAATGTGTTGGATTTAGTGAGTTTAAGCTTATTCAGTTATTTCAAGTTAGAGTATACTGTTGATCTTAAACATAACCCCAGATATCCCATAAATGTCGAGGAAGAGAATATTATATAAATGAAAAGTAGTGAAGAAGAATGATGAAATTGCAGAAAATGAAAATACAAAATAATTGTAATGCCCAATCAGTGGTGACATAAAATGATCTGGTTATTACCCGGTATAAAGAAACATCAAAACGTACATATATCATTTGATTTATTGTCGTTTAAGAGACAAAACACACTCTTTACACATTTAAACACTTCTTTTAAAAAGGCATCTTTACTTGAGTTTTTATTTAGTATTCCACTTAATTCTAGCAAGTTTTGACCAGTTTTCAATCCTTTTAATGCAAGACATGTGTCAGTGTTTATCAAGTGGGCTAACATTATGTGTTGTATGTCAAGGGATAAAACACACACACATCTTTTTATTTCACAAGTTATTCATCCCGCCCACACAGTCATGTGAAACAAGCCTTACACAGTTTTCCATAATCCCTCTGCTCCCTGCGCTTCACATTAAGACGTTCAGAGCCTCAGAGGCTGATGGGAGTCTGGCAGCCTGTCAACAAAAAGTGGAGCGGCTCTCCATCCCATCATGCATCAGGACATGAGGAGTCAGTCTGTGCTGCAGGAATAAGGAAGTAGTGTTCAGTTGAAAAACCCCTCAAACCACCTCTCCCTCCTCCTCCTCATCTTCTCTCTCTCTCCACCTATCCTGCATCCAAATTATGTAATGCATTTGAAAAAAATGTAAGTGCGCACTGAAACGCCCTTTCTTCATTTATTCAGAAGACTCACTATCATTGATGGCTATCTTGGATTTTAACAAACAAGACATTGTTCTCTTTAAGATACATTTAGCTTACAAGAAAGAAGAAACAGAGTTAAAAGGTTTGTTTAAAATGTGCAGCTCGGTGACATTAAGGCCCCGTCCACACGAAGACGAAACCGAGACGAAACCAATTTCGAACCGAAGTCGATTTAAAAAAAGTCGGCTCAAGAAACGTGTCCGTCCACACGAAACCGCACGAAACCGCTGGAGACGCTGTAGTACATATGCCGGGCCTGTAAGTGGCGCTGTACTTCCGCCACAAAATACACCAAAAGCAGCGAATAAGACCGATGGCGATTATTATTGTTATTATTATTATATTATATTATATTATTATTGTTGCTGATGGTTGTGGTAGAGGAGCTGTAGATTTTGCACTAAAATCTGTATCATGGTCAGTAGCGTCTGGAGCACGAACGCAACCCTGTGATCCGCCATTGTTGTTGTTGTTGGTGAAACACATCAGCAATGACGCGGGGGTGAGCAGCAGAGGTGGGGAGAGGCGGGGCTATGGCGTCATCGATTCAGGACATGATCGTATAAGGCGTACACACGGAGCCGCAAGCGTTTCGCTTCCAGACTTTCCCACTTTGGGAGCCGTTATCAAAGTGTATCGTTTTCGGGCTCCGAATCCGCGGATCCGTTTTGGCCTCGTGTGGACGAACCGTCTATACGATAGAGAACGTTAGCGGATACAACTGATATCGTCTCTGTGTGGATGGGGCCTAAACCAATAAGGCTGTCTGCCGTGTTGTAAGATCTATTAAGATTCTTACGTTAAAGTACTGTTTTTCATCAATATATAGGTCTCAGATATATACAAAACATGTCTCTGAGCGAATCTTTTTTCCTGGAACTTTCAGAATCTCTTTACACAGAGGGGACAAATGTTTATGTATAAAAGACATGAAAAAGTGGATTTTGCATTATAGTTGACCAGTTAAGCCCCGAGCCTGTTTTTCAGGCTCGAAAATGACATTCCCAGAACAAATGACCATATCTTCACTTCTAAAAGGGGTAAATTAATAATCTTTTTTCTCAAAGCAATGATAAACCTGTGAGTTGGATGTAGAAAAGTCAGAATCAATATATAATTGTTTTATTTTAAAGTAAATTCAGATTGAACATAGTAAAAAAAAACAGTACTTATAGTGAAAACCACCCTTGAATGATGGGATAGTAGACTAAAAGCTATATAATATAATAAGTACCCTGTATCAAGATTGATGCAAAACAAGTGACATTTGACCTTTTTAGAGAGGTTTAGCAAAAATAACCCACCTCTGGGGTCATTTGGGTGGATTTGCCGTATCTCTGGAACCCATTGGTCGATTTTGGTGATTGACATCTCTTTTGAACCGTTAGAGCCAATATAATCGAAGGGGAAGTTCCACATACACACACAGTGACGCGCACGCAGTCGAAAGCTATGTTACGCTCTGAAAACTGAAACCTAGGCTCAAACTATATGAAGATGGATTATCAGTAATCATTTCAAAGTGACACAGACACATTGGATTAACCTTCAGCAGTGTTTTTATCGTTTTGATGCCATTGAACACAACTTTTGATCAGAACAACAGCTAATGTAAGAATATCTCCGTGTTTCCTCCGTGAAGCTACGTGTTGTGATGTCTGTTTTCGCTTCCCCTGTCGCGAGTTTTGATCGCTCAGTGATGATACTTATATGTCTGGAATCTGTGGAATCTCAGTTTGCTAATAGATATCTTGTTTGTGCAGATCCGATAAGTAATAAGGGTATTTTACCTTGAGTTCTGTGCTAACTGCATTAGCATTTTTTCGCTCAGGGCTGTTATTACCCTTATGTTTCGTTTTGCTAAAAACTGTTAATATCGTCAGTTAGCTGAGTTTCTTCCTGTTAAGTGGGTATGACACATTCATCGTTTATTAAATGTTAAGAAGCCCTCAGACGCTGTTTCTTGCAAGAAGTTGCATCATAGTACCACCATACTGTAAAAGTACCCAGTTACAAGTAAAAGTCCTGCATTGATGATTTTACTGAAGTAGAATAAAGTAAGTATAATTAACAAAATAAACTTACAGTATTATACGTAAAAGTATTCAATGCAGGAACATTTTGAATACATTTTAAAAACTTAAATATGTATAGATGCCATTTAATTTTCTCTCAATTGGCAAGTTGATTAAAGTTTGTTTTTGAATAAACTATTGGCTTGTTTACAAAACATCACATTTTATAAACACTTGTGTTCTTTAATCAAACAATCTTAATTTGTAAGGTAACAAGTTACGCCTGGAAAACAAATGTAGTAAAAGGGTTAAGTATAGAGTTGAAGTATATAGTGGCATGAAATGAAAATACTCAATTAAAGTATAAGTACCTCGAAGTTAAGTACTACTAAATTCCCACCAGTGGCTGTTAGCAGGACACCTACAGAGAGAAGTCATTAACATGTCTGCCCTGTGAACAAATTTAGCAACGTGCCCCAGAAAAACGTTTTTTTTTAAAAGAGGAAACTTTCCTTCATGTAGTTTCCATGGATGGTGAGTGTGCACAATGATGAATTATGAGGTGAATGGGTTCAGTAAACGTCTCTTTCTCGTTATACTGACGCCTCTCTTCCTCACTTTCTCCCATAGATTACCTGAAAAAGAGGAGGATAGAGGCTGTCGTCATTTGTATTGAAACTGAGATTGAGCTTTACACAAAATGCCACTAACATGTCTCACGTTGGGCCATGATGGCTGTGGATTGCATTTCATTATTGAAAAGATATCTGAATGTATGACGGAGAAAACAGAACCCTGTGTTGTCATATTGACCAGGATGCTAAAGATAATGACATTTACTGATACAAATATGCACAAAAAACAGCATGCTTGTAGCTTATAATATAACTATAAATATCAATAGTGGG